AGTGTTATAACATGGCCGCCCCAATCTCCTGACATCAATCCCATAGAAAACTTATGGAGCATTATAAAGTACAGGCTCTCAAAAAACAGTTGAGCAACAAAGAGGATTTGATTGTGAATGCAATATCCGAATGGAATTCAATGTTGGAAATGAGATTTGCCAGAACCTAATCAAGTCAATGCCAAAAAGGGTTGAAAAGATTATTCAAAATAAAGGAGGACCCATAGATTAGTAAATATTTCGGACTATATTACCTATTATAAATAAATTATACCTCTATTATTCTTTATTTAAAGCTGTTCGGTTATGTTTCTATTGATTACTAGTTGCAGGAAATAAGTGAGTCACATTTTTGCAGTGTTTTTCCCCAAATCCCATTTATATCCAAAATTATAATTGCCAATAAGAATACCTTAGGGTGAGTAAACATTTTTACTAGTAGGTCGGGAAGGGGTCTTTATATTAGCAAGATTAAAAATTAGTTTGACGCCAAAAATAATAGGTGAAAAAATTTTTAAGTAAAAAAAAAACAGATGAGTCACTTTTCTTGAACAGCACTGTATATATATATATATATATATATATATATATATATATATAATATATATATATATGGTGTATCAAATATATTTTTTGCAAACTTTGGGAGCTGGTTCCTCATACCAAAGAAATGACAAAAATTTGGACGACTCGTCTGCCTTCGGTTTGGAAACGAAATCTAATACAACTGTGTCGCATGGCCTCCATTATCAATTGTGCAGCCATATGTAAAAGTCGTATCTGCCTGCTCACGATATGAATATTCTGCCATTGTTAAACGGAACACTTCTCAGTTAACTTACGACTACACACGTTGGACGTTGAAGAGAGACTGGCTACAAATGCATACGAATGACAAAATGTAACCTGGTCTACATGGCAACAAAGTGTCATCTACCATAGATTTTCTTTAAACTTAGTAACAAAAAAAAAACAAAAAAAAAAACGAAGAATTTGGATACATATATTTACATTGACTTTCGTCCTTGTTTTAGTGTGAGAAACACGCTCCCAAATTTTGTAAACGTATTAATATATATATATATGGCAATAAGTCACTATATAATTACATACAATAACAATTAAGACAAAAGAATTAATCGACATCCAGAAATTTTATTATTAAAATCGTTCTGGTTAATTCTTACTAACAAGAACAAAAGGCTATGGCAAACAATAGTAGAATAATTATATTTGAACTGCAATACATCTTATTCAGTGCTTTGCTTTTTTATTATAAGTAACTCTACAGTAACTTTAGTGCCGCACACACACACACACACACACACACACACACACACACACACACACACACACACACATATATATATATATATATATATATATATATATAGTGTGTGTGTGTGTGTGAATTACAAGTAATGAGATCTAAGCGATTTACCTCATAGAGATGATCATTTCATCCATGGGAAAGTAGTTTTCCTCTGGACTTCTCAATGCAAATAGATTTACTAAAATGAATAGAACGTTCTTTCACAAGAAATTAGAAAAGCAATGGAAGGAAAGAAGGAAAAAAAAACAAAAAGGAAAGAATAAAAGGAGAGTTTGTAAAAATTAATCTAGAATAGAGTAGGGAGTTATATAGATATAGAGGGGTAAGGGACCTAAGGTTGTTTTGATGGACACTAACATAAATGTATATATATATATATATATATATATATATATATATATAGAGAGAGAGAGAGAGAGAAATCCGTGGGTAAGTAATCCAAGTAGATCTTATTAATATAAAACATTAAAACTGATCAAAAAATAGATAGTTAAATATAATTTTAATTATAGAGCATATAAGAGAATTGCAATTAATGTCATCCAAATGATTTACCTCATACAGATGATCATTTCGTCCATGGGAACGTAATTTATCTCTGGACCCAGCAAATACATTTACTAAATGAATAATAGGGAAGATGTCACATTAGAAAAAGACCACATTTAAAAATATAAATGAAAGGGAGGAGTTCGAGGTTCGGCTATGTAAGTTGAAGTTTATTCCCATGGCGACACTAGGAGTGTGGGGCTGAAATAATGACATGTCAGCTGCAATTTTTTTTTCCCTATGGCGGCACTTGCTTACCAATTCATTCCTTTTGTTTAGTAGAATATCTTGATTCTTAAATTTAATTCTTTTAATTTTTTCCCTCCAAACATAAATAAAATCTACCCTTAAATCTATTTGGAGTCGAAGAAAAACCTGTAAATTCCCAGTCAATTTGAGTGTTCAGGACCTTCTCCATCAAATCCCAAAATTTGTGGAAGAGGGGGAGTTAAAATTGCCCTATAATAGAAGAGGGGGTTATATAGATAAACACACCAAACTGCTTTCTTTATTTACTTAATCCTTTACAGAATTTTTAAATAATTAGTATGTTATAATGTAAAATTTAAACTTAGTATTTGAAAATTTATTAATATTATATTGATATGATTATATTTA